TTGTGATTTCTATCGCGACGAAAGGTAACCATAAAAAATAAAAAAAATTTATAAAAAATACTAATGATTCCATAAAGAAAGTACCGTAATTAACCAAAAATTGTATTTTTGTTAATTTGTAAATCTCCAACTAAAACCCCACCTGCTCAGGGCGGCTGTGGGGCTAGATGAAAGGGCCCAAGGAGCTATGGTTAGCCCAGGATATCAACTGCATACAAGATGATGCAAGTCGAGCCTAAATACCTTTTGGCAAGGCGGAACGGGAAAACAAATCTGCCACAGGATGCAAGGGCCTCGGCAAAATGGATGGAATGGACTTCTATATGGACTGACGAGCTACAACAGAGAAGGCCGTGCTCGAGACCGGCATCCGCCTCCACGAGTCTTGGTTGAAGTTAATATAAAAATGGGCCATTTTGGTTTTAGACATAAATGTATAGCCAAAGATATAAAAACCAAGATTGTGTGGTCGCAGTCTCCTTTCGCTGTATAGAAATTGTCTGACCTTGTCATATTGGTCATATTGGTAGAAAGACGGTCCACGGTCCGACTCTGGAAATTATGATGCATACAATGGACTCGGGACCAGGGACCAGGGACTAACATGATCAAGTTGCGAAAACAACTTCTATGCATTTATAACATTTGGAGAGTGAACAAAAAGTGGCCTTCGCGATAAAACGCAGGCTTGTTCTCTGGGTCTTCCTAAGCCCGATGGAGGGGCCAGGCAGATTGGCAAAAGATGTTTACAGGTTTTATTGCAGTGGTGAAGAAGGCAAACAGGAGGAGGTCGGCTCGGAGACCTGTACGTATCGAGTGCTCGGGAAAAATTACAAAATCTAGCCGCCATAACAACGAGGCAGCGTATTAAGAAAATAATCGCGGAAGAACGCAGCCGATAAACGAAGAAATCCATCTGTGGAAACCACCTCTGCCGGCTGGATTGGTTCGTCAGATGGAGAAAAAAGGCAATGGACAAAGGTGAGGACAATGAAACAGAATGGTACAGTGCTTATTTCGTCAGTAATGCAGGCGAGTATGGCGTGGCAATGGATGAGTCCAACCGGTCGAAGAAGTAGACCGCGACCGTGACGCCATTAACCCCAGGCCTCGAATCCGACTATAGGAAGGCAGGCAGAAGACCGGCAAGGCTCAAGCCCAGACTGGCCAGGGCGTAGAGAGGCCAAGCGGGCCGGCGGAATTGGGAGGCCGGATTGCAGCCATTCCAGTCGTTACAGAAGCAGAACCGCTTCGAGTCGTGTGCTGAGTCATGTTCGACGCCCATCACTAACTCCGCGAGGTTGATTTGGCCCGTTTCGCCCTGCTGCAGCCAATACTGCATGTTGTCGCGAGAGTTCACGCAGTAGCCATGCCGACGCACTTGAGGGATGTCGAGACGGTACATGGAGTTGAGCAGCAGATTGCTGAGACAGCCGCGTGTAACCGTCTCCTGGTCTGGAGACGGAATACCGTTGTCATGCCGGCGGGGGGGCGGGAAACGGGGCAGGATGGCAAAATGAGGATCAAGTGGCGCGAAAGCCTCAATCGCTCAAACTGAGACTGGTCAACGAGGCCGGTTCGAGTAGACCTGCAACGACCTATCGTCATTCTTTCTCACTACAACTGCTCACTTTACGCTAGAGCCATTTGTGAATATGCACATTCCTTTTGCGCTGACCAATCAAATCCCGCCACTGCACCAAGAGTACTTTTAGACCAATCAGATTAGGAGATCTCGAATCGATCAGAATCCGACATTGGCAAGGTGGTAAAGCAGAAAGAAGTGTAGTGACTTATCGCTGTGGTTTCTCACCCAGACTTCCGTTACTTCACGTGCGCAGCTATCTCTCAAAGCCAACTGTGCGCAGGGCTTACTTGAAAGTATCCGCACTTGCATCCATCAAGCATATTTCCACTTTACATCGAGCCTACATTTGGGCCGACCAGATCGAGACCTTTTAAACCAATCAGAAGACACCATTCAAATTAGACAAGTACTTAAACAGAGAAAACTCATTATCCACCACCTTCTCAAGAGCCCTGCATTCCTTCAAATGATCGGCTATCGCCATCTCACTTAGCTGTTTGCACCGTCGTCTGTCGCCCGTTTTCATCCGAAATGAGGTAGGATGTCTTGTGGACTGCGTCAACCGAAAGTTGGTATTAAAGCCAAACACCTGCAGTACAACGGGAATCAGCCGTCATCTTTTGGTGAGATCGGCCTATGAATCTCATCACAATGCGCTTTTATACTAAATGAAAGTCTGCACAACAATGTTATCTCAGGAGATTTATCGAAACCCACTTTTGCTTCGCATATATTTTCTCAACGTGATAAGTTCGTATCGCCAATCGAGCCAGCTACTCTCCTGAAGCTCACTAAAGTCCTCGATCAGCACACACACTTGTACGCCGTTCTAGATCTGCGGTTGTCAAAGGTGGTCGGACCTCAGCATTGAAAGGAGCCAGTGCTGAGTCATTGTCTACGTAGTTTTCGAGACATCCTGAATTACTTTCAAGGGACCTTGATGATCTTTTCTTAGCTAGTGCCGAGACGAAGTTACCCGTAAGGCCGGTCGTGATAGGCAACAAAGAACAAATGAGTAACACGACGATGGAACATCACGACTCTCCTTGTCAGGGTTCCCGAAAATGGATTCGGTGAAAGGGCTGATAATATCTTTCCTGCAAACAGGAATGATATTAAAAAGCCATCTGGGCAGAACAGTATGACAGCCAGAATGCCCTATTTAAAACTCTCAGTTGACCATATTAACAAGTAATTTTCATCAAAAAAGCCTCTTATCCAGCAAGCTTTTCGTTCAAGGGTAAACCTTTTCTCACTTGCATTATAAATCTGAAATTTGGGTTCATGAAAAAACCATAAAAGGTGTCATGTTAAATATGATTAAATTACTTAGTGGGTGGAGTAGACCTCACTAACCATTAAATAAGGGTTATATCCACTCTAGGTTTCATAGGGTGATGAAGGACGGATATAAGAATTTTCCCGTTTTCTCTTGCTTCCTAAAAGTTGTTCTCATTCAGTGTGGGCTATGGTTTTGAACTAAAATATGTCACATCACCACCCCCATCACGGCTATATTCGATTCCCACTCGTAATGGTGATGAGACCTAGCATTTTGGGAAAGAAATGCTATCTGAAACCCAATAAAAATGTAAGGTCCACTAAAATCATTAAGGTGAAATTCAAAATCCGTCCTTCATCATCTTATGGAACGTAGGACGAATGAAACTTTTATTCAAGATTTAATCATAGTTTCGATGTCCACTCTTAACGAAAATATTTCAAGGACCATTTCGTTGTGCCCAAATCCACAGAGCTGCACCTGCTCCTAAGAATCAAAGTAACTTCGCTACAGGACCGACTTCAAATCACCCCACCTATCCAGTTGGCCTCCGTAGCGCCCTAATTAATGGAATCTCCATCGTTAACGACACAACTTTAGTCAGATGTCTTGGCTATCCTCCTACAGCTCTTTTTCCTATTATCTTTCTGCTTATCCATATATCCACACAAACGCACATTCAACTCAATAGCTTTGTACACCTGATACCCATACGTCAACAAAACATTCTGCAGTCTCTTATAGTTTCATTAGGTCTCAGAACAAATCTTGAGGTATAATTAGTCAGAAGGGAGTTAGACCATTTCGGACCCTTTAAAATTGGAGAGCTAGTTGCTCTTGAGCTCTTCATGAAAGAATAATTCATACCGAAGAGCCAAGGCTTGAAGGAAGCTACGAGGAGGAAGACTGCTTTAAAAGTGACGACCCAGACAAGCGCAGCGACGACGTCGATCCGTAGTTTATTGACATGAGTGACGCTCGAAAACGCTCAAAACCTTCAATAGGGCACGAACTTTAGTAGCCTCCCGAAATAAGTCTCCAGTACTGTCTTAATTTTAGTAGAGCCTACTGGATGATATTGGCTAGATTTGATCTCTAAATCACCACTAAAAGGTCACCTTGGAAATCATTTCCAAATAGACAATACAAAGTAGATACCACATTAAGAGGGTTTGCTGCAATTTACCATGGCAGTTACATTGCAAGCCGCAATGCATCTATTTATGCACCTTGACACAAACGAGTACTTGACTCAAAACTCCAGACAAAACCTGTATAGCATAAAGGCAAACAAATATAGTTATGACAAGTGAGTTGGAAGAGGGGAGGGCTTGGTCCTTGCGGCATAAACAATTATGTTCTTGTTAAGAGCTCATTGCTGACATTTCTTCCGCTGTCAATTTGACCGTACGTCCAGTACCCAAACGAAAGCTGGCCGTTGATACCTCACCGACAGTCCGTGGACTGATTGTTCTGATTTATTCGAGTTCAAAGTGTCTCAACCAGATGTAAGCGCAATTTGGTGAAGGGATTGTGTATTTCACTTTGTAGGTGGGGGAAATGGATTCGTGAATTGGCCTCACTGAAAACAAAAGGTGGATGGTCGTGAGGTTTTGAATTTCCACATTTGCTACGAAGTTTCCAGTTCATCGTCCTGAGGCACCGATGAATCTGTTTTGAGCCTTATTTTGTCCTGCTATGATAGACACAATCAGAGTGTGAAAATATTCTTTAACAAAATTTACCAAATGTGAAGCTAAGAATGGCTTACCGCAATCTTACTTTAAGCTCAGCCAAATTTTGCTATCTTAAAGAGGCATCCTATCATAGGGGTGGCAACTAGATGTTTCCATATACAGACTTGTAGAT